ATCTACTCCCCTGACGTACCGTGGCTGAACCGGATGGTTTCTGAGCACTGCCATCCTACACCCATTGTAATGAATCACGTCAGCCGGCCGCACGGAGCTGGTTATCTGCTGGTGGCTGGCAAACCACCTCCCTTCAGCACAGACGCCGGATCCTATCCGACAGACAGCCAGAACGCACGCCGTGTCACTGCAGACTTATCACGGGGCTGGTCGGGACACGGTGCCGGCACCTAACGAAAGGTTATGGCATTACGCCGGGCCAGATTTTAACCTGCCTTGCTGCAGCCAGGGCTATGCACCTGAATGAGATGGGGAAACTAAACACAAAGTACTACGGGAAGCATATGAAGATACTGTGATAAAGTGTTCATATATTTACTATTACTTTTAAGGGACCAAAACTGTCCTGTTTTGTTTTTTTAACTAGCTGCATGGAAATCTTGCCTTTGTGTGAAACAGCCAGATATGTATTAGAATACAATGGAAAAAATTACAAATATGTTACGCGGGCTTTTCAATTCCTTGAGGTCTATGACAATAACATCATTTCTGCTGGCTTGCAGTTGTAAAAAACTAATGAAAGCTAATGCTAATGTTAGGTAACGAAAGAGCTGCTTCTTGAAAACAAGTCTGATGCTGTAAAATGCAGCTTATAGAGGAAAAAGCAAGTCACTGATATAGCAAGTTAATTGAGAGACTTGTAACTACTTGGACCTTGGGTAAATAGTCATCTAACAACTCACAGAGAATGATGCTGTTCAGTTGTTATTAGACTAGAGGGGATTCAGTCCAGCATCCTGATTTTGATAAGCTCAATGTCTGCTAATACTTAGCATGAGCACATTCAATATTTTAGTCTTATTTTTAAAAGTTTGGTATTAGCAAGCATAGAAAGAGTCTTTTTTGGTTTTAAAGTTTAAAAATAAAGTTGTTATATGTCTAAATCCAAAAAAGGCACATGCAAAAGCAAGGTCACTCCTGAAAGCCTCTCCTTTGAAAGGGGCAGGAATCCCTGCTCAAGGTTTAGGTGCTAACGCTGGGCCTGGGAAAGCTGAGCTCAACTTTCTGCTCCGCAACGCTTCTCCCGTGCACAGACAGGGAAGTGGCGAGGCTCCTCTAACACATCACTTCTCCGTGTGTCAAACGACGCCAGAAGTACTGTCATAGCCTTCCAACGTGAGGACAGTGACAAACATGGAAACAGAAGGCAGGGAAAGACCTGGGCAATCATGTAAAACCTTTCATAATTTTACCCCAAATCATGATGTCTTCTTAAAATCATTCCTACTTCTTGCCTTCGCTATTTTTTGGAGGGCTGTCGATAAATGAAAGCGACAGCCTCTGTACTATGCTGGTGGTACCAAACCAAAACAGACATCAATAAACACAGAGCGTGTTGTTGGATGCCTGAATAACGCTATGCATTTCTTACCTGTCACGTAGGTAAATACATCAGAAATCACAACAGCTTTCATAATGGCAGGACTTTACAAAAGGCACCCAGTGATACCTGGTGGACAAAACCCTGTTATCAACTCGCTAGTGACCACAACAGTGAAAAAGCCTCGAGTTCCTCAGCCTTAGTGAAGAGCCAGTACCTGGGTAGCAGACAACCATCAGCAGTCTTTGGCTGGTCCCCGCCTTCCTGACAGCCTGCATGTTACATATTCAGGTATCTGCAGGAGGTGAAACTTAGGACAAGCGGTTTACATTTAACTCCATTTTTACTTGGAAAAGGATGAAATTAACAGAAAAATTAAGGGGACTGTCATGCAAATAGCAGTGATTTACAGCCTTCTTTTGGAGAGATTATGCCAGGCTTTCAGGGGTCTGAATAAGCTACATGAGCCCAAAGGAGGGGGGAGAACCAAACCCTGACATATAAAGCAACAGGGCTCCAAAATATCCCCAAAATCACATTTTGACCATTTCACCTGCTGTGGCCGCAGGCTCACCTCCGAGCTGGAGGTGCGTTTCCACCAGCAGCCGTCCTGCTCCTGTCCCGGCTGCGGTGTGGTGGCCGTGCCGCTGAGGCGGGAGCCGGACAGGCGCGGAGGCATCGTCCCTGCGCTGACGCCTGTCATCCTGTCAGCCTTGACCTTCAGGCTGTCCTCAGCATCCACACCGCAGCCTGCCCGCACTTCCCCGCTGACTGCGAGCGACTGTTGTCTCGCTGCCTGACCTTACACAAACACGATACAAACAGACAGCCCACCTCAGCTCCATCACTGTCTGCTGCTAATACAGGAGATTGATAGCCACATGAAATTATCTCCCTGCTCGACCTTCATTACCGGGTGGCATATTCTGACTGACAGCCAACCTCATTCTGGAGAAAGCTAAACCACCCGTTCGGGTTTTTTTACTGTCTAAAAGTGAAGGAACTTCCTTTTAAAAGAAAATTGATGCTTTCTCAGATTCGACAGAAAAAGAAGCCCTTGTTAAACAGAAAAATGTCTCATAACTTGAATCTTTCCCAGACCACCGTACATACCAATAACACCACAATGCATGCCGCAAGGCTGCTCGACGATGCTCCGTCGGACGCTGTGCTGGGTACCGCGGCAGGCGTCCTCCCACCTCTACGAATTTTACACGGAAAGTTTTCAGCTCTGCCATGAGCTATAAGTTTCCCAGGGAGAGCACGGCCAGCCCTAAGGCAACGAGCAACGTATGGTCGCGGCAGGTGGGAGGAAGGGACGTAGCTAAAGTGAACCCGGCTTTACACACGTCGCAACTGCCAGTAAGGACTGCATGGGTAAATATTGGCTTTCCGTCGCTCTCTGCCAGCCAGCTCGCAAATGCATGATGCATGTGGCCTAAGCAGCTTTCTGAAAAGAAATCGTGACTCTTCGCTCAGATACTCAGATTTCTGACAGTAGACACGAAAGATACGGAGTCGGGTTTTCTCTCAGATCCCCTGCAGTCCCTTTTTGTGACCTCCTGACAGCAGAGGCCAGAAACCGCACCCCGCAGTCTCCGTACCAAACTCCTCTGGCTCCCGGACATTACGCAGAGCCTGCCTGGGGTGAGAAAGTGCAATGCCACAGCCTTGCAGCTCCCGTAATCCCCAGGCAACAGAGACGGCAGCAACCAAGAAGGAATATGAACCTTCAGCCTTCTGATGTGAAGTCAACCATCAGCTAAAGACAGCTAAGTCATAGCAAAACATCTCGTTCCTTTCTTGGAATATTTTAAATGAATTACTCGAATAGCCTGTCCATGGCCGAGTTGCCCGTTTGGCAGCGCCCGGCCGTCTCCCGGCAAGGTGCAGCAGCCACACGCAGCCCTGGGCAGCTGTACAGGCACGGGACTGGGGTCTACACACTGCACAGGTTTTAAAGCAAGATATTTTCCTGAGCCCACAACTCTCCAGCCCCACGGGGAGGGAATGACGGGGTGTCACCATGGCCAGTACTGTCAGACACCTCTTGCCACCGACCCCGATGAAGAGGAGGCTCTGGCTGTGCTGGACTCTGTGAAGATGTACACAGGGTAGCCCTGCCTATGGAAGAGGGGCAACGGGGGCAGCCAGTTTCCCCTGCCCAGTCTCAACCCCTACACGCTGTGTCAGCCATCTCCTAAACACATGCCTAAAACCCTCAATGCCCTGACCAGCTACGGGACTTGGGTGCCCGAATGCCATCCATCTCCCAGGAGAGTGTACGACCCGAATGCTGGTGCCACAGCGGGTCTCCCTGTGCCGCAGGGACCCAAACTGCCCAGTGTGCTCAGTGACCGAGGAGCCCGGTGCCCTCTACAACACACTTCTGTGCACTGCACGCTTTCGCTTACCTTTTCGGCTCTGGATTCGGCTGGGATTTGGAATCTTTCCTTTTTTTGGACTCCTTTTTGGAATCCTTTTTTGTTTCCGCTTCAGCGGCAGAGGCATGAGACACTTTGCCCCCCTCGCTGTTTGCACTTGGCTGTGACCCACCAAGTAATTCTGCCATGTGTTGGCTTTGGGGAGTGTTTGGAACGCGGGGGGCAAGGCCAGCAGCAAAAGTGAAAGAAACAAGAAGAAAGCATGAAAAAACTCAAAATAAAACAAAAGGAAACTAAACTGAAAGCAAACAACTGAAATCAAATAACAATTGGCAAAGAAGGAACGAACGAGCAAAAGAAAGTCAGAACTAAAAAAGAAACTAAGGAAGCAAAAACTCGGTTTCCATGACAAGATATATGAAAGTAACTGCAAAAGCAAGTGGCAGCCTTGCAACATGAAACCTGGGCAATGTGTGTCATAATTTGGGATGGTATTTACCACAGGATTTATGAAAACACATAATTATTTTATAACATTCCTTTTTTCAGCAGCATATGTGGGTTAGAGAGCAATACCTCAAAGTATATAATGCAACTTCACAGAAAAAAAGCAGGAAAAGAAGCTGCAATAGATGCTACAGCTGTCAATAAAATAAATACAGAAGGAAAAAGCAGAGCTCCAGTTCCTCCCACCAAAGATTTGCCACATTTGAGAGAAAGGAATGGGCTACTTCTGAAATTGAAATTGCTTTGCAACAGAGCAAGATAAAATTTTCAGTTATGTCTAAGCAATTTCTGAACTGACGTCACATGGACTTTAAATGTGTGCCCGAGGGCTTAAAGCCCTTCTGAACACTGAAGTTTGATACTGCTGCAACTTGTCAGATCCTCTCACACAGCAATTAAATCAGCACAGTGTATCGTTTACTTCTACTTATTCAACCCGTGACAGTCACATGTACTTCAACTCTATCTTGTCCAGAACTACATCTAGCAGGTGCCTGGGTAAGAAAGTTAAAACCCCTCATTTCTGGATCCTCTACGTGCATTTTTATTGCTTACATTAAACAAGCAACGAAACAAACAAACAAATCGACTATGCCACTAGAAGCGCTGCTGCCAAACATCCACTGTGAAAACAAATTGGGGACTGTTGCGCATTATCCAAGGAAACCTATATTTGACAAAGTCATCCCTTGCTGGCAGGGAGCTGCTAGCCGAGAAGAATTCCTTACCTGTTGCCATGAACATGTGATGCACAAAAGGCAAAGCTGTAGTGAAGTAAGGTGGGGTCAATCATAGCTCCGTTTTCTGCGCGCTCTAGCAAATCTCTGAGGTAGCAGAGATGTCTGTGACAGCCTCTCACTCCATTACGTGCACAATACTCATCTAGCACAAAGACCTGGCCAGGACTAAACCAGCCCTGTTTAGAAATAAAGAGACTTGATTTTAAATATAAGTTATTAAATACAAAGGCTATCAGATTTGGAGGTGTAGTGGTCAACTGTTCTAATAAAAGAAAGACAAACCTAAGGCTACATTAAGGAAAAAGGAGAGAGGTCACTCTTAAACAATACAGTCTGTATATCATCACCCAAACACAGCATATACTCAGTGCAACTGTTAATAAAAACATATTTGCTACCATTAAAGGGAAATGTCATTTAAAATGCTGAAAAGTTAGGCCAGTTCATGTCAGTGCCTAGCAAAAAAAGAAGAAAAAGACAAAAAAAAGACACCTTGAAGATATGACAAAGGTTTGGTTATTTAAACAGCGTGAAACAGTAATCTCATTTCGGGGATGGGATTGTACGTTCGGCCAGGAGCAAGAAGACTGATCTGGGGGAGAGCATGGAGGATTACACTGAATAATGACTTCTCTTGCATCTGGCAGGTAGGAACGTCCTGCAGACGGAGGAAGGCAGCTCCGCAGTATCAGAAAGGGATGTTTCCCATCGTCCTTATTGCGTACTGCTGGCGACGTGCTCTGCTGTCGCCCACCTCCTCGGCATCGAAGCAAAGGGAAGCTCTGCTCACGAGCAGGGTTTCTTTACACATCCAGAAACCTCAGACTATTTCTGTCTGTCAATCCTGAGGGCCTGGTGACACATGGCTTGTGGTGCAACGTCCATGCTCTCGAGGAGGACGCCCTTCCCTGCGAGGGGATGGCTCCGGTGAACGTCTCGGGACAGCCGAAGCGGAACGCGCCTCTGCCTTCGAGTAAGGCGCTAGCAAGAACAGGAATATTCTTGTAGATTGCTTTTCAAAATGCTGCAAAACCGTCAATATTTACATGGAAATTTGGGTGCTAAACAATTGCTAAGACGCAGCTCTGGAATGCATCAAGCTGCAAAATCTTTCATCGTTTAATTGAAAAGTTCCTGCAGCGGGCGGGAGAGTAGTTGAGGCAGAGCACTGCCCCTATAGGCAACTTCTTTGCCACCCCATCTGTTACCCCAAATGCTACATCTTAGAAACAACACTGCTGTGAAAGATTAAAATATATTTTCTACCACTCAGATGACACCAAATCTTTTCTAGATGCCAAAATAGCTGCTTTGAAAAGAGTTGAAGAAATATCAATTAAGAGCTCAAAGACATAGAGAAGGATTTGCTCATCCTTATTGGGCCAACTCCAAAACAGATTGAGAAAAGAATTAAAATAATGAGGGGAAAATGATAGATATAGGGAGTAGCTACAGTGCTGGGATCACTAGAAGTGCACATTTCAAAATGAAGCCACAGAACAATGCAGATGGGACAGCACTCTGGAAGGCTATTTTTTGGGAGGGGTATATTTGCCTTCACTGCTTTTAATGGTATTTTTGTTTGCTTTTTGGTTGGTGGTATTACGCTTGATTCTGGATTTCTTTACGCTGCCTGTTCGTTACATCCTTGGACCGTCTCTTCACCTTGCCTCTCTTCACACAAGTCTTCAGTGATCAGGCATGGTAAAAATACAGAAATGCCGTAACCGCTCTGCGATAGAAAGATGTGTGCGTTTGGTTACTGGGGTAGAAATGCAGTTGAAATTGTTATATTCACCTAACGCATACAAAGGACTCAGTCCTCCCGATGGGGTGAAATCTTGGCCCTACTGACACCAACAGGAAGGCTGGCACTAATTTCACTGGAGCTAGGTATCAAGCCCAGAGTTTGGGGTGAAAGAAGCAGGAGGCTGGACCCAGCGATCCAGCGCACCCCACATTGCTCCCCTGCACCAGGGTCCGAGAAGTGCTGGTCCTCAGGCGGACAGAAGGGTTGGGGGCAACAACTCAAGATCGCTGCCATGGCTCACTGAGGGGAAGCCTGAGCAGAAGCTCAGAGGTTCAGTGATGAGCTTCTTATCACGTATCTCATGAGAACACAGGCAAGCAGGCTACGGATGGAGAGATCCAGAGCCCAGGAGGACCAGGTGGTCTCCTTTTGCACAGCAGAGGTATGAAATAAAAATCCTGCTGCTGAACGGGGCTCCAAAGGAGCAGTAAATGCTGCTCCTCACAGCCCAGAAAAAATCTAAGGTTTGATCAAAGGCAGTATTCAGACAAATCCCCCACATCTTCAGGCAGATCCTGGCTCTTGATTAAGATTTGCCTGGCGCAACCTGCTGACAAGCAGCCAGTCTGGCAAATGCAGCTGATAGTGGTGACACACCGGGTGTCTCACCCCAACGCAGTTAGGTGTAGCTCAGTTTGGTCTCCCAGATGGTCTTCAATGGTGTGAGGAAACCTAGAGGGGACATTGGAGGAAGGCCGTAGAGCACAGGGAGCTCAACTGACCGTGTTCAACACGCTGAACTGCATCAAGAAAGGGACACGTGTCCCAGGCACCAGTGGGGAGTGCAACGGGAGCTCTGAAGCTGGGTAAAGCAAGGCTTGGTCTGGGTTGGTGAACCACTGGCAATTTTTCTAATGGTAAATGCAGCTTTTGCAAAAACCAGGGGTTTTGAGGGAAATTTTTCACTTTTCAGTAGCCGAATTTTCTCATCTACCATAGGTAAAACAAAACAATTTCATTTTGGTAGCCTGCTTCACGGACCTTTTAATCTGACTCCTTCACATCATCTCAGCTAAGCTGGGCACACGCTGTGCTGTATTATGTGAATCCCACGAATGCTGACACATCATGGGAAATACAGCTCCAGCAGGGACCCAGCTGCATGAGCCGGATGCCGGCAGTAGGTTAGGAAGTCTTGGGAAGAGTTGAAGGGCAGTCTCAGAAATAACGCACATGTCCAGGCAGAAAGCAACAAAGACCCACGCATTGTGTGGAGTCCATACTAAGCTGGAAGAGCTGCATATTCTTCCCAAAAGTCCAGGAAGAGCTGTGAATGCAACTGTGCTACCAGTTTGTGGATGATGGGCAGGAGCCCTCAGCAAGCGATGCAGACAACGGCAGACAACGCTCTGCCCCTTCCCCAGCACAGTGCTCTCTGCCAGCAAACATCACTTCTGCCATAGCTGAGATTAGTCAGCCAGCCTGTTTGTTTTCATAGGGATGCCTGGCTCAGCCAGCGAGTGGGCTCACAATAACGTTGTTTAACCTGGTTCCACGGAAAGGAGGCAATGCTGAGTTATCCTCTGTGTCAGGGTAAGCCACTGTGTCCGGGTAAGTCTTCCCTGGCACCTCCATGTCCATGTTTGAAAACAAGAAGAGGTGTGACGAGGCAAAACTCTGCGGGACTTTGCATGGAAATGTCCTGTAGGGAGAATAACAATTGCCCAGCGGCACACAGAGTGGACAGAGCAGGCTTACCACAGGCTCACAGCTCCTCCAGGCAAGCCAGCGCAGTGGCATCACCAACATCTCAAAGACTTAGCAAGAGCAATGGGAGCTCTTTGCAGTTGAACTCAAATTTTGAGGTCAGTCTCTTTTTTTACACCATAATCAGGACAAAACCATAGCAAAATAAGTAAAGAAGCATGTGAAATCCAAGCATAGGTGAACACAGGCCATTATTCTCTTCTTTATAACACTCTGCAATGGGTGATTTGAAAGAAGATGGTTAATTGGTGATGCTCCGCTCTGAAGAGGCACAAGTCTTGGTGCTGAGGGGAGCTCCACTACTCCGGCAGCTTCTAGCAAGGGCCTAAACATCTCGATAACAAGCAGAACTGTGGCTGGTGGGTTTCTTGAAGAGAAACATTGTTAATCATTTTCAGTGATGGCCTTGCACCTCTCCATGAACTTAATTCAACGGCCACAGCTCTCTCACCAGGCCCGAGACTGCACAGAGACAAACCAGCTGCAAGCCAACCTGTCAGACATGCATGGATGGGGATGGTCTTCCTAGGGTCAGCCATGCGTGGGGAGCAGAAGCTGCATGCCAAATTCACTGCCTGCCGGAGCAAAGACCTCGATGGAACCAGTGAGAAACCTGCTGCAGGTCTGACAATGCTCCCATCAAGCCTACATGTACCATTTGGGTATCTGCAGGTAAAGTGCACGCTGCAGCCTTCCCCCACCCCATCCTTACCTCAGGGGATGTCCACAACTGTTCCTCCTAGCCCTGCCTCTCATCAGGAAGGTGACAACTCACTACCACTAATGGCATTTACTGGATCTCAGCCTTTCTGAGGAGATCAGCCCTTGCGTGTGGTGCAAGGAGCAGAGCAGGTGAAAGGAGCACCATGGTGGAGGGGGATGTGGAGGACAGGATTTGAGATTGACAGCCTTACTGCCAACTGCTCAGTTGTGTTCCCAGGTTGCTGCTTTTAACAGCAAGCCACTCAAGAGCCCCAGCTCCAGGGACTGCACAGCTGGCAAAAGGTGAAGGCTATCGGCACAGGGTGGTCCTTCTGCTGAAGGCATAGACCCCAGTGTGGAGGTTTCTGTGCAACATGAGGAGGGCGGCAGGTCAGGATCTGTCCCATGCCAAGTTCAGGACAGGGTCGGCATTTCAGGCCCCTCTAGAAAGGCTTCATCCTGTTGTTTTCTCAAAACCTAAGAGCCTCTTCATCCTCCCCACTGAAACCGCTAAAAATTAATTGTTCAAGTGGTACTGTTAAAGGTTATTTGTCATTTAAATCCTCACAATACCTAAGAGCTCCCAAGCACTGCACCCCAGCCAAAGGCTACAAGCTGTCCTGGAGCATCTCAGCGCCACTATCCTATAGACCATGTTACACAGCAGTGGGCTGAGAGCTGCAACCGGTGCTCATGAGAATAATCAGGATGGGCATGCGACTACATAAGCGTGGACAGACTGCAGCATCACTGCAGTTATCCACCTAGTCCCATCTGTTACCTGCTTGGGATCCCTGCTCATAAAGAGCCACAGAGCTAGGCCACAGTTATTCCCGGTGGGACTCCATTGACATGGGAGGTGGTACCAGACCGTCATCTTTCCCCTGTTCTTTCATCCAGAAGACTCTGGAAGGCAGTGCGGGAGGCTGCAAAACACTGCTCTCTACTTCACATCCCCACACTGGCGTTTGTCTTTGCAGGAAGAAACATTTTAAGCATTGCAAACAGAAATGGTAAAGACAGTGCAACTGGAGAAGAACAACAGTCAGTTCACTGCAGGTAGCCTCTCAAAAGAAAATACCTCTGGGCCAAATTCAAACCTGTGTAAACAGAAGTCAATCTTCCAGCAACAGGGGGATTAGCCCCCACTCGCACTAGCTTTGACTTTGCTGCTTGATGTTTATATCACTAGAGACCAAAGAATATACTTGCCAGACAAGAATAGGAATCATTAAGTCTGTGGTCCAAAGTGAGGCGCTGAACCATCTCAAAGAGTGAAGCGTGGTCAAAGTTACAGGGATTGGAAGAGATAAATTCATCCATGCCATGCTTTTGAGCTCTATCTGCATCTGTTCATTTATACATATAGAGAAAGACACCATTTAGAGAGATATAAGACATTTTAGTTGACAAATACAACAGAAAAAAAATATACAGTATGAAGCATGAAAGCTAAGTATCTCCTCCTCCCTACATTGCCATTAACTTTTCTCTGTGCAGGCTATACAGTACACTTTTCACCTCCCATTGTCAACTTGCATCAGTTATGGACTATCTTATTGCATTTAGGCAAAAGATTTTAGGATTAACATCGTGTCAACTGCTCATTATAGTGCATTTATTCTGTACTTAAAACCAGAACACAGACCCAAGAACTTTCTCTGTATCTTACAATACACTGAGTTAACAGAATTTTGGCTCACATAAGTAAATTAGCTCCTATTTAGATAGTTGCGGTTAATTATAATAGATTCTGCCATTCTAATGAAGTTACAGCTGTAGCATTTTTATCTACATTTACTAGGTTTTCTAGGTATCAGACCAGTTACGTTGTTCTTTATCCAAATGCCAATGTTTGTCTCCCCACGGCAATTCTTTTCCTAATGGCAACTTTAAATGCTACCTCACCGAAATGAAAAGATGCTCTTTTAAGCATCGCTAAGAAGTTAAATTGATATGTAGTTTGTTGTCACTGAGGCAGTAACCCCATAGTGCACCAGAGCTGCCAGTCATCCCGACGGAGGGGCTGAATTTCCCCTGCCTGGATTATGAGCTGCCATTTTTGGGTGAATTAACAGCCTCAACGTATTCACACTTCTCTGCTTTGGGTGACGTTTACAGGCACTAACTCCTAGGGGCTAATTAATTAATCTCAACATGGTTAACTAAAAATACACCGAATTCAGCAGTTGAAATGAAGCCACCAAGCTGGCCTGGGTGCGGCCAGCCGGGACCCTGCTGGGAGCAGGCTTTGTTCTACCAGCGTCCGGGGAATTAAAGGACACCTTTCACTCGGTTTTGTCCGTGCTCAGCTTCCTACTATATGGGTTCTTGCCAAATCCTCGACAAAGAGAATAGGATTTAAATCCTTCTCCTGTTTATAGCCTCCTAGGGGAACTGGGTGGCCTTGAAACAATGTGGCTGAAAGGACACAAAACCCGCAGTTTTCCGCAGTAGTAATATATGGTAACTGTATTTGTTTTAAAACAAAATCCCTCTTTACCAGAAGAAACAAAAATCCTTAATTAAAAAAAAATTAAAAAAAATAAAAGGAGCTTTAAATGATAATGAAGTAGTGTTCCTTTATATATGTTTTACTATTTAATATTAAGCTGTGAAGGATGGCATGTCTTCCTAAATACCTCATTCATGTCTGTGCTCTCAGATATTACTGATCATTGGAAGCAATCTTTACATTTTCTGTATAGTCTGTCGTTAGCTATACACAAACCATATAAATAACATCACCCACAGGAAAGAAATCAGACAAATTAAAACATGTAACATTTCAATTAGGTGCTAGCAATACTTAGTTCAGCAGTAGCTGGCAATTTTCCTCATTAAAACCCTGCTGAATAAACACTGATTTTTTTCCTACAGCTGGTTAATTTTTGAGGGTCTACTCCCCTGTTTCGCTCCGTGTGTGGGTCCTGCTGCCTCCCCCCCGCCTCGGGGGACAGAAGAAGCCACTGCCGGTGCCGAGCAACGTGGCAGCGCGAGGGCTGGCTCGGGGGACAGGGACAACCTCCCCGACGAGCGCATCACCTCCACGGCACCTCTCCAGCATCCTTGGGTGTGGGATGCAAATCCCACCCAGCCCTGGGGCTCACGGCACGGGCCGGCTCCTGTCTGTTTTGACAGCTTTCTGCCCCATAGTCTCTGTTCCTCTGGGCCAAGATCAATTTGATTGAGTTCACTCCCAAAGAGTTTGTCTACGCTGTTTTTGATTCCATCCCTAGTGCCCACAAAATGTTTTAACAGATATTATCGGACTATTTTTAATGGCTTGCTGCTCTGCCCCGCTCCTCTGAGTTGACTGCAAGCTGACAAATTGGCTGGAGGCCTTAATTTGCCAGCTTCGCTCAGAGATTTTATTACTTTTCAATTAGGAGCCCTGATACACTGTCAATCCTCCTGCTCAGCCAACGAGGCTCTGAGAGCTGAGTAAATCAGCTGGAAATTTGAAGAGTCCTCTAGCCCTTTAGCTGGTGAACTTTTTTGAGCAGATGTGCTAGAAAGCATGCTTGAAATGAATATTTTTTTACTCCAAACTAATAAGCTTTTTCCCACTTTATGTTCTCTGAACAAGGTGGACACAGAGCAGACCTTTGGTTGGTGTGAACCAGCCAAAGCTCTGCTGGTTACGATGGAGCTGAGGGTCCGTCCTGGGCTTTTTAAGGTCTCCTTGCCCAAGGCAAGGGCACAGACAGTTCCCTGCCAAGCACTGAGAACTGACACGGCACTTAAATGGCCATCACGACTGTCCATAATCACGGGCAATTTTACTTTCATTAATCACTGTGAAGCCACACCTTACTGAGCATCCCGTTGGGTGCCTGCTCAAAAGCCCATTTGTCCCAGATCTCACCATCTCAGAACAACAACCATCGGACATGGCACTGCATGAGCTCGAGTGACCAAAAAAGTATGAGCTGCACGACTTCTGCTCAGTCAGTGGTTTAAAATGTGGTTTTCTGCCATGGGAAGGAAGATGACCAGCCGCAGCTCTCCGTGCAGCCGCCCAGCACCGTAGTTCTGGCGTGATCACATCATTTTGCATCGGCAGAGCTGTGGGGCTGGGTGGGTGCACGTCACCCATGCAGGGGATAAAGCTGGCATCGTTTGAACTGGAGATGTCTTTGGACAATGGTAATACACATATGTATTTCTCTTAAATGGAATATCTGCTCTGGGCTAGATGCTTAAAAGTCTTAAGAATAACTAGGAGCAGGTTCAAAAGGACAATCCTACACTAAACTCACCTTCCCTTAATTAATTGTTGGAAAATAAACATGCCATGCAACTTGCAATTTATTTTTGCGTTTTGGTTTTCCAATGGACTCGCTTTTAAAAATGAAATTTGGGAGTCAAAGTATACCAAAAGCATGAAACTTCCCAGGCAATACAAAAAGAATAGGATAGAGCTAAATATATTGGTCCTCCGCTCCAGCAGCTGATCTGTGTGATTTAAAATAATGCCAACATCTGCATATTAAGTGAGTTTTATATATAATCCATCCTCTTTCAAAATGGCTTGTACAGTTTGAATGAGATTTTAAACAAAGTACAAAATAAGAATGGCTAATTTCACACCCAAACTGTACAACTAATGTGCAAGTACTTTAAATTAATTGTTCCAGTCAAATACGGTTGCTTTTTTGACCCTGCTCTGTTATTCTAGCTAAAAAGAAAGGAGAAACTAAAGAAAGAAAGTTATATGATGCTCCAGTAATTTACAATCCCTTCCCAAGGTGCCGTGCCAAGCTCGCTGGTGCTTCTTTGTTCGGGGCCCCAGCCAAAATGCTGCTGCAGGCCCACAGAAGTTATCTTACATATTTAGACAAGCTGCACACAACTGCAGCTGAAAGGTGTTCGATGGTGGTCTCGGAAGGGAGGCTGCCAGCGGAGGTAAATTGGCAGCACAGACTCCACGAACCTTTCTTCTGGAAAACTGCAGACTCTGGCCTTTTATATTACACTTGGTCACCTACATTACGGTCTTTTTTTAATACTGCCGGGTTTATTCTGTTCATTTTTATCCAGTTTGCATTTTACACTGACTCCACTAACCAGCCCCCTGTCACACGCACTCCCCCTACAAGTGTTTGAAATCAGAGTCTTAAAAATCTGCCAGGGTTGGGAACACAAAGATTTCAACAACAACAACAACAATAATAAAAACCAAAGGACCGTCCCACCATTTGGTCCTCTGAGGGCTGTATTTCTCTTTATCTAACTGTTACTTAAAAAGAAAGAGACAAAACAGTCAAATCTCTCATTCTTTTTTTTTAAATGTATTTCCCTGCCCTCTGCATTTCTTTTGCTCCAGCAATAATTTTGGCAGATTTTGCTCTGAGAGCAGTGAAGTTAATAGTGGGGGACAAGCTCCATAAAAGAATTCTTGTTATAAAAGGCTTTAGGTAGCCATTTTATTGTAAGAATTTCTTACTCCAGATTTATTTCTGTTCATTAATGAGTGACTTTGTTTTAGTACCAAAGGCAACTGAACATCCAGTAGATTTTACAACACGTTTGCTTATTTAAAAAAAAAACCAAAACCAACAAACAAAAAAACCCAAACAACTGTAAATTAAAAGGTGACTTTGTATCTTACTCATCTGGAAAATGTGTGCTTGTCATATCTGCTTGACATTACAAGAATGAAGATGTGGTTTGGACAGTAACAAACAATGACACTAGTCAACCTCATCAGGAGACATGAAATAAAGGAATGACAATGATTGATGGCAGCTATTCATTTACAGATATTTCTAGAAAACTCTTCGCTGGCCTGGCCGGGCAAAACGGGAGAAGTTTTCCAGCCTGCGCGGTGCGTGCCGGCAATGCACCGCGGCGGGCGGGCGACGGCGTGCCCACCGCGACCTGCCGCACACTTGGCCGCGTGCTCTGAGGAGCGGCGGGGTCCCCTCCTGCTCTCGCCGCTTAAGCGGAGCTAATGGACACGCTTGGGCTGCGACTTGTTAAAGAAATACCCAGGGGAAGCGCCTAGAAACCTCGTTTTGTTCGGCCGTGTGGAGTGAGAGGCTTTCCTAGCAAATACCGGTGTTCTGGAGGGGGAAAAAAACCCCCGTACTGGGACTTAAAATGCCAGGCTGTTGATTGTGAGCGAGCTGCTGGCAGTGCCGGCTGGTGACTTACCAAGTCCCCTCCTCGCCGTGCACTACAGCATTGCCACCTCTGAAAAGTGACGTGCGTGTGTGTGTGTGTCCAGGGCTCTGCAAACCTCCCCGCTACGAGCTGCGTCCGCTGCAGCGGGCTGAACTCGCCTCTCAGCTGGATACCTAAGAGCTCTTTTTTTTTCTTCATATTATTCCACGCTAGAAAATAG